ACGATGAGGTCTAAATATAATTATCGTGAAAATCGGTGCCCGTCCGTATAAATAAATAAACAAAACTAGCGTACGAATCGTCGATCGTTTATCGAATTGTTGAACTTTTCTTCGATCAAATTTCGAGCATCTTCGCGGCATAAATCGACACGATACGGAGCAGGTTTAGCCGACAGTTACAACTTACTCGAACTCTCGAAAACGTGATACGAATTTTGCGCAACGATTGCGCGGTTTAATTAAGAGAATGATTAAGAATTTCGAGGCAAGAAACAGATTGCAGGAAGATGTACGAACAGAAAATAGAGAACAGGGACAACGGTAATTTCCGTGCAACATCGCTTATTACATCGCAGAATTTTCTATTAAATCGTCAGGATCGAATTCAATCAGCAATGTCGATGCGATTCAATTAATAAACTCGCGTGGATGCGGTTCAATTAATAAACTAGAGTGGAAGCAGTTAATAAACTTGCAGTGGTTCGTTCGGCGGAGAGCAGCGACGATGGTTTATTTTCCGAGGCCGCCGCGGATCGAGCAGCGTCCCTGGATCGGGGATCGTCGCGGATCGAGGAACGAGAGACCGGAGGCATAGCTGAAGTGAGTCGTACGACTATGAATTGCGCCGTGGCTCGTACGTGCAACGATCTGGCCTGGTCTTAAAGCGCCACTAAACTTGCGCGTCACGTTCCTTTTAATTACGTCTGCCAGCATCGACGGCCACGAAACGACGGCGCGGCCGGGTCTCGGCCGCGGGCAGAGAGGCCGGGGAAGACGTTAAGAATTCATTAACGATACTTTGTGACCAACTGGAGCCGGCCAGAAGTGGGACAGGTGCTGGATCATACTCGAGAAACGGCGAGCGACTATCGTCGATCCGCAGAGACATAGTTTTCCAGCGACACGGACCTCGGCCCGAGCCGAAGAATGCCGGCTACGGCGGCTCGGGGATGGACGATCTCGGGATCCGTTCGGGCTAGAAGCAGCCAAGAATGAAAGTGATTGAGTCTTTGTACAGAGGACGGCTCGTGACAGTTTTTAATGCCAAGCGAACTCGCTGTTACTGCCGACGATAATTCCAGGTGAACTTTAGGCGCCGCGAGGCAACGAGAAAGGCTGGCGAATTGTCGGATATCTAAGAAGAAGGAGTTTTTATGCGAAACAAAAATTGTCTGCATCAATTGGAAGAAAGAGAAACTAACTGCAAGCTAACTCTTCGCTCGACGATAATTCCAGGTGAACTTTAGGCATCGGCGAGGCAACGAGAGAGGCTAGCGAACTGTCGGATACCTAAAAAGTAGGGATTTTTAGCTATTTAGGGATTTTTATGCAAAACAAAAATTGTCTGTATCAATTGGCAGAAATAGAAACTGATTTGCAAGCTCATTCTTCGTTTGACTATAATTCCAGGTGAACTTTAGGCATCGGCGAGGTAACGAGAGAGGCTAGCGAACTGTCGGAAACCTAAGAAGAAGGGATTTTTATGCGAAATAAAAGTTGTCTGCATCAATTGGAAGAAATAAAAATTAACTTGCAAGCTCATTCTTCGTTCGACAATAATTCCAGGTGAACTTTAGGCATCGGCAAAGCAACGAGAGACGGATACATAAGAAGCAGGGATTTTTATGCGAAACAAAAATTGTCTGCTTCAATTAGAAGAAATAGAAACTAAGTTGCAAGCTCATTCTTCGTTCGACGATTATTCCAGGTGAACTTTAGGCATCGATGAGGCAACAATAGAGGCTAGCGAACTGTCGGATATCTAAGAAGTAGGGATTTTTATGCGAAACTAAAATTGTCTGCATCAATTGGAAGAAATAGAAACTAACTTGCAAGCTCATTCTTCGTTTGACTATAATACCAACTGAACTTTAGGCATCGGCGAGGCAACGAGAGAGGCTAGCGAACTGTCGGATATCTAAGAAGTAGGGATTTTTATGCGAAACAGAAATTGTCTCTATCAATTGAAAGAAATAGAAACTAACTCGCAAGCTAATTCTTCGTTCAGCTGATTTATTAGATTAAAAACAATACACTGACACTTCCAAATGCCTTTCATTTTTCTACTATTTTGAACTGCGTTTACCCAATTCCGCCGTAAATGCGTAAAATCCGCAGCCTCCTAAGAAGATGGAGATCCTGAGAACTGAAGGTTCAAGCGATTAGACCGTAGTCGTCTGTTTGAGATGCTTCTGAATAAGATTTGCTTAATTGCTGGCTCGAGGATCTGTGCGCGAGATGAAGATTCAGTGGCTCGACGGTAAAGAGCAGAAGCTAAACAGAGGCTTGACTACGCTTTGACAATGACGGTACAAGTGCTCGGGCAGAACTAATCAGCGGGACAGGAATGTTTGAATAATAGAACAGTTACTTAAAGCGCGCTGGACTTCGTGGACAGCCTTAGATGGGTGCTGTTTGCACGGGAACCGTATTTGATTAACAGAGAATTCTCTGAGGTCGCGGGATCGGGCGATCGGGGACCCGCTCTACCGGGAAACAGGGGACAGAAGTGGATCAGTCGGAGAAAAGATTGAAACGTCACGGGGATGGCGAGGAGGCGAGACGCATGCCAGTCACGCGAACGTGGTACGAGAACAACAAACTTTCGTTTCGTGTAACAAGGGACGCGCTGGCAGATCTACGGCTTGTCATCCGATCGACGGTGAACCGGCAGTAAAACGAGGGCCGATGGCTCTGCCGACGCGACTCGACGCGACGCGACGAGACCAGACGAGACGAGGGGGGCCGATGGAACGGCCGGTTCTCATCGAAGCTACTGGAACGATCGAAACCGATATCGAGGGCCGGTTGCATGATCGTTCGGCGGACGAGCCGCCACTCGCCGTTTCCGTGAATCCGATCTATCCCGCTCGCTCGGCCGGCCGTGTCTTGTACACCGAGGAGAAATGACTGGAGAGCAGTTGATCGTCGTCGCCGGGGCCCCGGGACTCTCCAGAGTCAGCCAGAGTCAGCTCGCGGGCTGAGTTATGACTGCGGCCATTACGCGGGACAAACGAGGCTAAGCGTGTCGACACGGCCGACCGACCGACCGACCGGCCTTCCCGGCTTCTTCTACTCTTGCCAGCCAGTCTTGAGTCATGAGAATTACGAGGCACGCCGAGTCGCGGGCCTTCACCGAGTTCGATCGACAGTTTTCAGGATTGCGATTGGCCCTCGTTATCGGCCGCAGGAACGGCTGATCGGCACAGGCTGCCCGGACTACCTTCCGATCCAGGGGTTAACCGAGTGCTTCGGGAAGGCTGCTATCTAGCGGTGGCGGTTTTAACGCGACACGGTTCCGGCTGTTCTTGCGAAAACTTTTGCGTGTAGTCGGAATATTCGAAAGGATCTCTTACTTTCGAAAAAAAGCTATTAGGTTGTTAAGGAGTCCGTTCGCGCGGACCTTCGACACCTAGGAAAAGACAAGGAAAATCATGGGAATTCAAAGCGATAGTTCGGATGAATTTTGAGATACGTTCTCGGGGGGCTTTTTTTATGCAACTTAGCTTAAATAAAAGCTGGAAGTATCTACTTTAAGACAGGGTGGAGTAGATTGCAATGGAATGATTGGATCATATTTTGAAAAATTGAAAGGAATCGACCTTTTACATTATGGGGTTTACAAGATTTAAAAGGAACAGTTCGGATGGATTTTGAGATACTTTCCTGTAGAAATATTTCTACGAAATTTAGCTTAAATGGAAGCTGGAAGTATCTACTTTAAGACAGAGTGAAGTAGATCGCAATAGAATGACGAGATCGTTTTGAAAAATTAAAAGGAATCGACGTCTGACATCGTGGGATCTATAACATTTAAAAGGAAGAGTTCAGATGGACTTTGAGATACGTTCCTGTAAAACTAGGAACTATGTTCCTGTAAAACTATGCAACTAGGCTTAAAGTGAAGCTGGAAGCATCTACTTTAAGACAAGGTGGATTAAATTGCAATAGAATGAAGAGATCATTTTGAAAAATAAAGAGAAATCGACCTCTGACATCGTGGGATTTACAGGATTTAAAAGGAAGAGTTCAGATGAATTTTGAGATACGATCCCTTCGAACCATTTTCATGAAATTTAGCTTAAATGAAAGCTGAAAGTATCTACTTTAAGACAGGGTAGATTAGTTACTGCACGATGCTATCAAGAAAACGACTATTTTTAATCATCCGGAGGGTAACGTGCTAATTGAGCTTGCTCGACTTTTGTCATCGGAAAAAAACGAAAGTTTTCATCTTTCGAAGCAGCCTCAACTATACTCCTACGTCGGTCTATCGGCCTATTGGCGTTTTCCAACCCAGATTTTAACGCGATTCCGCGACGTATCGGCTCGCTTTTCCGCGCGGATCGGGTTTTGCCAGGCGGTTTCGCGGAATGGAACGGGAAACGCGGTCGGCTAACGAGCGAAATGTCATTCGAGGAATTGAGACCTCTTCTTTCTCATTGAACCGGAGCCCGGTTCTAAGGTGATTTCGTTTCTGCCGCGGGAAAAACCGGCTGAATTTTCGAGTAATCGAGCGAGTTCTGTCTCGGGAGAATGGCACGGTCTTCGGTCGTTAGGATACGGAGCTAATGGGTGAAATCGGCGGCGTTTTGTCGCGGTTTCACTCGCGGAACTGGACATCGAAACGGTGTCGATGATCTACGCGGTCGTCGATCGAGAGGCAGGGACACACAGCTTCGATCCCTCCGGCGGCGTCGCCATTATCGATTCTGCGGAGAAACGTCTGTGCAACTGAAAATGGTTCTTGCGAATTGCTGCATCGATTTGTTTGCAGTTGGTCCGCCGTACGGAATACGACGAGCTGCTCCACAACGCTACCGATCTGTCGATGAACGATCGACTGTGTTAATCGTTAATGGTTCCACAATAAGTACAAGCGGCGACGGCTTCGAAAAATCTCACGTTCTCTGATGCCGTTTCGTCATTAGTCTCGCCTAGTTTTGCTGTTTCTGTTTTCTCGATTGTACGGCCTCTAACAGTGGTTGGTCGTTACTTACTTCGTCCTGAGAACAAAAAAGAAAAAACACAACGGTTAAAAAGCATGATCGTTGACAAGGATTTCATTAATAATAATCAATTATCCATTTCTCGCGTGCGTCCTTCGGCGGCCGATAAAACGGCCGGAAGAAAAGAACGGCTTATCGCGACCCTCGCCATCGGCCCTAACGTCAATTAATCGTAACGACGATAATGATTTACGGTCCCGCGAGGTTACTCGTCGCCCCCCCCCCCTCCTCTTCTGTCCTTCGGCGCAGCGAGCTGCGATTTTTACAGAAACGAGAGATTTCTGACGCAAGATTCAATAGAATTTAATCAATCATTAAACGACAATGAGATTTAGACTGCGGATCTTTGTGTAAAATAAAAATTGTCCAAGTTAATTGCAAGAAGCATAAGTCCGATGAATATAACTTTTCTCTTTGAATAATTTCGATAAATCGTACATAATATAAAAATATTCTCAAATACTTATCGCGTCTTTAGAATTGCGTTTTTGACATAGTCGTTCTTCTCAAAAATGCATGAAATCCACAGTCTAATAATATCTTAAAGTATAATAATAGCGCTTATTGCCACTTTAAAAATTAAGTGATAAAATCGCACATTTCCATGTCGCAAAGTGTCTATGCACTGCTAGTCTTAGCGATTATACAGGGTGTCCCAAAAATGTCTCGCAATCCGAAAGTAGGGGATTCCTGAGATCATTTGAAGCAACTTTTTCCTTTACACAAATTTTCTCCGAGGCACCATTAACGAGTTATTAACGAAAAAACAGTGACCAATGAGAGGCGAGCTCGGTTGGCGCGAGGCGAACGAGCCAACGGCGCCAGCGGTCGAGCGGTCGAATCCCAGCTCAGCTGGCGTGAGGCGGCCGAGCCAACGGCGCCAGCAGTCCAGCGGTCGAATCGCAGCTCAGCTGGCGCGAGGCGGCCGAGCCAATGAGCGGAACTGGACTCTGTGCACTCGTTGGCTGGGCCGCCGCGCGCCAGCCGAGCTCGCCTCTTATTGATCAGTGTTTTTCGTTAATAACTCGTAAACGAAGCCTCGGAGAAAATTTTCGTAAAGGAAAAAGTTGCTTCGAATGACCTCAGGAACCTCCCATTTCCGGATTGCGAGACATTTTCGGGACACCCTGTATAATATTGGCATATGCCAAGCAATTGTTCGACGTAAATCTAATAAAAAGAGATGTAAATATTTTACATCTCTGAATTGTCGATGCTTATAACGATTTCCAGTTCTATCGAACAATTTTTCAAGAACACGTTTTCGAAGATACTTTGCGTAGACCTCTGATGTAACAGCAATTTGTTTAATTTATGCCACACAAATTAATTTTGCCAAAAATTGAGCGATTAGATGATGATTTAAATGCATCGGTAAATTCAAAATGACTCGAATAAATAAATTTCCAGCCACGAAATAAAAAGCAGACAGTAAGAAAAAGTAGCCATCAATGAACGGACAATTCGGCGAAATCTTATCGGAAAGCGGTTCGAGCATTGTTAACCCTTCGCTGGATCGTTTCGGCAATGAATTACGTCAAAAAACTCCTGCAACGATATTTGTCTCGTTTCGAATGCTCCGCACGGTACGATATTTCCGAGTTTATTCCCGCTGCGAACAGGTGCGTCGAGAAATGAAGCAGAAAAATCAGGGATCGATCGTCCCGTTTCGAAGCTGCCGGCCGCGTTAATAAACTTCCGGTAGCCGAAGTGTCGGAGGATAAACTCCGAGAAGCATCGACTCGCACAGAAAACCGGGGACACGAACGCTTCGGGAGAGGAAAGGGTGGCAAAAAGGCCTGATCGATAACGTCCTCGAAAAGGTTCGCGTCGCGAGTGGTTGATCGCGCTCGGCCGGCCAGATTCCTTTCCCCTTCGAGCGAAATATCCGGCGGAGTTCGGGATCCATCGAAATTCCTGGACAAAAAGCACCGCGTTCCGAATCCTCGAGCGACAATAACGCGGCCCGGAGCATCGTGTGACCGTGGGACAGTCGCGGACGGAGGAGAGAGAGATACGCTCGCAAAACTCGAGGCGGACCGCACCGGCGCGCGGCTCCGCTTCGCTCCGCGGTTTTCATTCGCCTGCGCTCGCGAGCGCGCGCGCGCGCGCGCCGATTACCAGCACCGCTCACATTTTTCCAAGCCACTCGTTAAGGTGTTTCTCGGGCCCACAGAATCGTACGAAAAGTAGCCGTGGCCTGTAGCCATACCCATAACCATAAATAATGACCATTGATTGGTCACTCGTCGATCGTTACCCGCGAGTACGTGACTGCGTTTACGTTTCCACGGGTCGTTAGCTCGTTTCCATTAAGGCGCGGTCCCGTCGGTCCTCCCTCTCCCTCTCTCTTTCTCTCCTTTTCTCCTCTCTTTCTCTTACGCTTCTGTGTCCGCTATCGTCGGAATGGTCGGCACTCGATAAAACACGGTTATTCTAACGATTTTTCCATGTTTAGACATTTTTTTCATATTACGCCTTTCACAGGTGCGCGGCATTTAGAAACCACGAGAGTACAAGTCGATGTCGGGGCAAATTTTGATCCAGTTTCGAAGATACGACGCAGGCAACTATTAGTATTTGAACAGTAATTTTTATCTATTTATTTATTTATTTATCGAATATGTACGGCAAGTTACTCATCAGTTATAAAATTGCAAAAAAGATTAAAAAATACAGAGGTTTAGAATGATTTCACATAGAGTGACAAATAATATAATAAATCTCTACAGACGAGAGAGAATAATTTTTAACACTAAACCTACCAAGCAGTAATACTAGAAGAAGAGAAGACCGAATTCATTTGGAATTTGTAAAGTTTTTATTATAAGACTTGCTCCAATAATATAACTTATTCAAGCGTTTTCCACGAAAGAGTCTCGGAACTCTGCAGAATTGAAAAATAAGAAAGCGGTCACTTTGACCGCGATAGGTTTAGTGTTAATAAAGATTCAAGTCGTATAGTCCCCTTTGAAAAAAAGTTATATCGTTTTAACCAGTTAGCTGTGTTCGACGAGTATACTCGTCATGGAGAAATGGCAATATTTTGTGACACGACGACCATACTCGTCGTGCGTAAGAAGTAGTGACCATTGGCTACTTAAATTGTAATTTTAAGGAAAACAAAAACATATTCTCAAATTTCAAGATGTTCAGAATATTTTGAGGCCAATCCTGCACGAAGTTGTTTACATTGTTATAAAAATAAAATTAGAAAAGAATCACAGTATTGGTGTTCGACGTGCAAAGTGCCATTATATATTGTTCCTTGCTTTGCTAAATACCACTCTCTCTACAGCAGCAATTTGAATTTTTAACTTTTATAAATATTCGATTATCCCTAGGTTTTTCGTTTACTATGTATATGGTATATGTTAACGACAAGTGAATAAGTAAATATTAGTAATAAAATTGTTAATTTTATCAAATAAAACCGTCTTTTCGACCCAATATTTTAACAGCGACGCTTACATTGTGTTTGACGAGTATACTCGTCGTCGCTCGATTCTCGCGACACATATAGGTGCGCGCATTGAAAAAGAGACGCCACAGCTAACTGGTTAAATACCATGATCACATACTTTATCTTCTAGCGTATCTTTTCTTTTATTGTAACATTTCTTTTCTTTTCTCTGTACTTCTTTTTGATATGCTACTCGTGCGACATATTGTCACGCTATTAAATATTATTATTATTATTTGTTTTTTCAATCGGTCAGAATAAACCCGATAGTACAACGAAATGTCGGAAATATCGACGACCCATAACAAAATTAATTGCTATTTAAAATTCTCTTTAACGTTTGTCTGCCACAGCTAACTGGTTAAAAAGTGTCCACACATACTGTCCAGATTGTATTCCAGCGATTCCAGTGGCGCGACCTGAATTTTCCAGGATTATCAATTTCCGGCGACCGAGACGACCACGAGAGACTAAGTAATTATAACCCGCCAGAAGCTGTCGTCTTCATCGCGAGCCGAGCGTTCGCCGCGGAAAAGAGCGATTTCAATCGTGCCTGGTGGAAACGACTTCGCTCTTTAACGTGGGCAGATGTCTCGCGCTGAGAATAATGAGAAATGGAAATTCGTAGGTAATATATTGCACGGAAGGACGATTAATGACTTTATTTCTGGTATTCTGGTGTGTGCCACGGCGGAGCCGGTTCTTCCGGTGTGCTCGCTTTCGATTACCCAGCGCCATTGGTCCCCGGTGTTTATGACTTTTTCTCCGGCCCGCCGCGCCCCGCCGCCTCGAAACATCGCGGGGACCGATTAAATGCGTATTAAGCAAGAAGTCGAGTGGATTTTACATCATGCGAACCGTGCGTCGCCGGGAAAAGTTCTCGGAATACGGAAATCGATTCGCGGAATGTCGCGGACACCGGCCGCAGCAGATCGGGAACCTTTACCGAACGTCTCGTACGGCTCGCCGCCGTAACTTCTGCGCGCTTCGAACGCGATTTTTTGTTCGGATCAATCATCGTTTTTACGGTCCCGCTTTTCCTCAAACGCGGCGCGAATTTTCTGGCTCGGCTCGCGTCCGATTTGGAAACCCGTTGATGCTTTCCGCGCGAACGTTCTTTGCTTCTTCAGTGAAACGGTCGTGCAACGAACTATCGCTGTACTTTCTCACCATACTAGCGAATAACTAGAGAGGTTCTCAAATAACCGGCCGGAGAACGAAAATGAATGCTTGAGAATTCAACAAACTCAACCTGAATGCGAGTCTGCGACGAGGAGACCGCGAATCTTTATGCAAAATAACAGATTGCCGCATCAATTGCGAGGCAAATGAGCCACGTATAATTTCCATTCATTCTTCGATAGTGTTAGCGAGTCGAAATTAGTACACCAACATACTTAGCTTCTTTTCATCTTCTTACCGTTTCCAGTTTTATACATTCATTTGTACACGATGAAAATTGGCCAACTTCGACCGACAATAACTCGGCGAGAAATCACCGTAGAATCACGACTGTTAACTTAAATTAAAGCTT